CACGAACGTACCAGGGCTTTTGTAGGATATTCATTGTTCAATTAATTAATTGAGCATCTTTTCTCTTCTTCAATATTTTTACTCAATTCATTGAAATAAAAAAAATATTCATATTATAAGCATGTAGTTCAATAAAAGTAAAAGGAAAGATTCATAGAGTAAATAATCAATAAAATTGGGAAGTGAAACGTTAAAAAGAAATTAATGACCAAATTGTTATTATGTTTTTGATCGAGATCATGAACTGATGAATGTTAGACCATTGTTGAAAGCATTCGCTCACCAATGATTGGCTTAGTGAAGTAATTCTCGAAGTTCTAGTGAGAAACCATATCAGGTAGAGACAGATATCTACCTCAGTACAATCGGTAATAATTATATAATTTTGTGGTTTATCTGAATTTAGACATTAACACCGTTAAATGTTGTCCAGATCAGTGATCTACAAGTTAACTGTTCGTGCACAAGACCCAAGGTCCTGCGCTCGAGTCCCACATGTTGGATCATAGATGTACATTGTTGAGGAACCTCACACTAAGACAAAATGGCCGTCTAATGCTTCCAGGTTTTCAACGGTGGTCTAACATTCATCGATCCATGATCTCAATCAAAAAAACTTAATAAACTCCACAACCCCACACTAAATTATTATTGAGAAGATTATAAATCATAAATTGACCTGTTTGTTTATATCCCCTGATTGCATTAAGTATAATGAATTAAACTGTTCAATTTGTAATGGTTGACATAAACAGAAGCATTGAAATAGACTATTTCTATTAATGATTATAGTACTAATCTCAATGATATCATTTAGTTAAAGTCATTGTGAACTAGTCAAGTATAGGATATATACATATATATATGAATGAAATGTGTCATTAAAACTACTTCTTATACTAACTGTTATTGACAGTTAGATTAAAATGATATGAATAGAATAAAACACCTTAAATATTCATTATTTATAAACTAGATTTCACTATGTTTGTCGATTTGTAGTGTAAACAATAAGATTTTCTGATTAGTATTGAGAAAATATTAATGAGAAAAGTAACCAACTACATCACAATGCAAGCTCTCACATAGAATACTCAAGGTGAATGGAGAAGTAGAAGACCAAGGAACATATTACGACATGAAATGGAGATAGACATGAAAAAAAAAGAATAACAATTGGATAGAACTAGAAAGATGCACACAGAACAGAGTGAGCTGGAGAATGCTCGTTGTCAGCATGTGCTCCTTCATTGTGAGTAACAGGCGTAAGTAAGTAAGTAAGTAAGTAAGTAAGTAAGTAAGTAAGTAAGTAAGTAAGTAAGTAAGTAAGTAAGTAAGTAAGTAAGTAAGTAAGTAAAATAAAGTAAGGAATACGATTTAGATACCAGGGGTTTATAATGTTTAGTTAACCTCTTCAATGATGACAATAATCAATATGGGAATTTACGTGGATTGTAGTATTTGTGCTCACTTGTGACTTGTTTCAAGATGGATTTTCTGTAGTTCTAGTGAGAATTGAAGACCATTGGAGTTTAATCCTTGTTAGGTGTGAGACATTTATCTACATCACTCAATGAATGAAAGGTTACGCAAGATCATGGTTTGATTAAAGTTAAACAATAACACCGTTGAATGCTGGCTCAGTGGTCTAGAGGTTAAACGTTCGCACGCGAGATCGAATGTCCTTGAGTAGATTTCCATATACGAGATCATGAATGTGCCTAATTGAGGAGTCCCATACTACAATGAAACGGCTATCTAGCTTAGCTTATCTTGTGAATTCAACTGTTAAGAACATAATGATGGCCGTTACTTTCTTAGTTATGTATTAATATACAATTGTTGTGTCTACTTGTTACTTAGGTATTTTTTGTAGAGTCGTTTAATGCAACAGGAAGTTTCTATTTGTATTGGTATGGAGTAAAGACCTACTAAAAACTTTAGATAAATGTTTATTCTTCAGTTGTATGATCAAGAGGCCCAAGATTAGGTTTTGAATGATAAGTTTCAAGTACCATACATAATACCTATTTAGATAGTATCATTAGGGGACAACGTTTCTTTAAATTACACTAACAACCATCAACTTTTCAATCAAATACTGTTTTTGTATAGTAAAGGATGCATCAGAATTTACTGTGATAACATTTGGATATATCAGGATTGAAACAAAAGGCACCTTTGAAATTGACTGATAGTCATTACTTGTGAAAAAATAAGATAGATGAATTTCAACTAAATGATATGAGCTAATGTTAACTGGTTAGAGCTTGTTAAAAGAAATCTTGGGTTTCGGTTATATATTAGTTACTAATCGTCAGTATAATGTAACTTCAATTAGCGATCACACTGTGAATTGACAGACATAATTTGATTGGCACTCATTTTATTTATTTAAACACATAAACATTGATACAAGAAAGTACCAAATAGATATGTGTCACATATATTATTCGATTTATGTGAGGGATATGATACCGACCATGTGCCCAAATCAGACCTTAAGGTCTGATCCACAAGGTACCGTAGTGGAGGAACGTCAGTAGATGCAGTCACATGGCTGCCGATCACCAATAATTGATTCAAAAATTATTTGTTCATTCAAGGTTCTATAATTCATGTGTTCCATTTGTTTGGAATCAGGGTTTTACAACTCGCCTAGATGGACTGTCTGTGTCCAGCGACCCGGTTAAAGCACCGAACATTCGTTTTTCTTCCTCTCAATTTCTTTAACAACATCGCGAATGAGAGAAGGCGGTGAGTACGACTTCTGTGGGAGTGGTTGTACTAACTTGGTCATGTGAGAGCATTTTGAGCAAGAATGCTGACTCTCCTCACTTTCATCCGTACCAGGGTATTTGAGCGCAACGACTAGACGAATATGAAATTATTCACAAAAACGTAATCAATCAATATAAATATTCAAGTCCTAATAAAAGCTGAACGTAGAAATATCAATCCATCTGACACGAGTTTTAATCTCATATGAATCATTAGTTTCATCAAGAATGCACATATACCTTGCTGACAAGTGACAATCAACACAAAACCTATATCTAGTGTTTACAACAATCTATGTCGAAACGACTTGCATCGGTACGTAATGTATCCTATGTCAGATCACTTAGACTAGTGACTGTATTCCATTTTGACTGACAGAATTCAATCAGGATTTATGATTAGATAAACAAAACATTGGTTACTATGAAGAGTTAGTCATTTTAAATGGTCTGAACCGTTTGTATTAGCTGTAGAACCGTCACTTATAGATTACGGAAACTTGTTAATGTATGTTTTTTTCTTATATATTTACTAGCGGAGTTGTTTAGGAAAATAAAAAATGGTTCAGACAACAAAATAGCCCATGGAATCCCCCTTCTGAGCTATAATTCTTCATTATGATCTCAAAACTTTACTATCCTTAACTGATTTTGGCTAAGACTATTGAATACATACTATTTTATCCTATTTATATCGTGATCTGTTTTCGATTCAGCGTGACCAGAATAATCTAAGCTAAATATATTCTCTGTTGTACATCGGTATTTTCTATAGGATTTTTGTGGCCCGGTATCTGAGTCCAGTTAGATCAGACAAATATTACTTCAGGATCGGGTGGCATCGACACCCGAAGCAATGATAGGGAGTGAAGTAGTTGAGCGTGTCGACCGCTTCACTGATCTTGGGAGTCTCATCAGCGTTTGTGGTCTGGTGTGTAACGAAATCTCAGCACGGATACAAAAGGCTCGACTAGCTTTCGCCAACTTGCGTCATTTATGGTGTAGACGAGATATCCGTCTACCAAACAAAGGTCGGGTTTACTGCGCTGCAATTCATTCCGTCTTACTTTATGACAGTGAAACATGGCCGGTAAGAGTAGAGGATATTCGTAGCTTACTAGTATTCGATAATAGGTGTCTTCGAAACATTGCTCGTATATCCTGGGACCACCGAGTAAGTAATCCAGTTGTTAAGAAATGGGTATTAGGTAAGAATGGCAAATCAATTGATGAAGTGGTGAAACTTCATCACTTGAGATGGCTAGGACACGTGTCACGTATACCCAACCACCGACTGCCTCGACGTGGGATGTTCAATGGTGTAGGAGTAGGTTGGAGGAAAGCTAGGGTCGGCCAAACCAAAACACAGCAGAAGTCCATGAAGTCACTGACAAGTGAAGTGAAGCATGTTGGTAGGTACAGACTACCTGGTTGGGGTACGTGAGATTATAGAAACCGATGGTTAGAGACGCTGAATGACAGTGTTCAAAATCGTTTGCAATAACGCAGGTACATTCACTCTTTGTGTTCTCCCAAATTCTAATTTTCTGAATTCTTCGTTTCCCTTTTTTCTCTTTCCAAATTTATTTCACTAGATTATACTCGTTGAATAACATCTTCAAACCCTCATCTTTCCGATTATTGCCAATAGTCTTACTACCACTTCCACTACGGGATTTGAATCGTCAACTGCATCTCCGTTCTAATGTGGTGTGGCAACTCGAACTGATGTACGTATATACGAAGTTCTACATTGTTACTGACTGAGATCGTTATTGAATGATTGCTTTTGAACTAGACATCCTGATTATTCTCATATATTATTGTTGAATTAAATCGCGTTAGTGAAGAACAGACTGGACCGACCTTCTCCTTTAGGACTTATCAGAATCATCACTTCTAATTTTGTCACAGAGTGAACACTTGTATTTTAGGTTATCCAGGATAGTATGTTAGATTTTAAACAGCTTAATGATGCATACTTTATGAGATACTAACTTCATTTGATTCGTAATACTATACAATCAGCACTTCGTACTATTTCGCTTCTAATGTAATTTCAACTTCATTTGCATACAGATTCTTCTTGGAACTTTGAGAAAAATTCCACAATACAAAATGTTTCCAATTAGACTGTCACAAGTATCATCGACCTCATTATAAGAAAAGCATAAATAAAAGATCATTTCATGAATGTAAGATGAAAAGTATAAAAATTACTGTATTCAATTGTCGTTTTGAAGTTAAATCTGTAAATGGATTTTCAATTGAAGGATTTGTTTGCCAATTAGTTTTTGATTTTAAACTAGATTTATTCCACATAGCATCAAGTAATGGTTCACGCCATCTTGCTTGAAGGAATATATCTGCTTGATATCGTTCATTCACTGTATCGACTTGACCAACTTTAACAAATATTAAAACTAATTCAACACGAGCCTAAAAATGATCAAAATAAATGAAATCGATGGTTTATTATGTGATGTATATTGACAATGAAAGATATTTGAGAAATAAACTCAATATAACATTGAAGTAACCATTTCAGATTGAACTAAGTTATGTGTGAGTGAAATGACTGAATAAATAGTAAATCATTTAGACACCTATGGTCACCACTGATTAATATCACAATGTCATCATATTACTTATAAGCAAACATGAATAGTGGTTAGCAGTGAAATCCAGGATGCGCGTTTCGTTCTATCCATCTCTGTTTATAATATTTGTAACTTAAGGCAATATTGAGGGATTCCACACAGGATACACATATGGTATCAAGAGATTGATCAATTACAATCGTAAACAACACTAGGAAGATACAAGCAAACAAGGTCAAGCAAAAACACATCTATGTTGTTTTTCTGTTCGTGAATTATAAGGTTTGAATATTAGCAGAATACTCATAAAAATTGGAATTTGACCAAGAGATGATTTCAACTACGTATTGGAAATCAAGTTTGTCTGATGGATTTACTCATGAAGTTCATGTTAACTAGTGTATTTCTTGGGAACAGTGCCCCCAAATGTCCTGGTACAACCGAGAGTGAGGAGAGTTAGCTACCTCTCTCAAAATGCTCTAATATGGCCATATGCATACAACCACTTCCACGGAAGTCGTACTCACTGCCTTCTCTCATCCACGGTGTTTTTTAAGAAATTGAGAGGACGAAAAACCAATATCCGTCGTCTTAACCAGGATGGTGGATACAGACAGTCCACCTAGACGAGTTGGAAAACTCTGATTCCACACAAATGGAACACATGGATTATAGGATCCTGAAAAGACAAATGATGTATGAACCAATTATTGATCACCGACAACCATGTGACTGCATCTCCTGACGTTGCTCCACTACACTACCTTGTGGATCAGATCTTTAGATAGACGGCGCCGAGTGTGGCCAAGTTTGTTTAACATAAAAAACAATCAAGGTAAATTACGTATCCAACGATACCGCGAAATATAAGGTGGAGTGGAGGATAGAGAGAGATGGTCTACTACTATTATTCACAAATGGTGTAAGCTAAACAACATTTTTCAAGCTGGATATACTGGGTGGCTTTTTGGTCCTAGTACGGAATTTCCCAGGAGTGTGCTTCCATTATCTCATAAAGGAGAATCAAACGTAGGATCTAAGTTCTCTCACGCGAACACATAACCTCTGGACCAATGAGCTTACATTCAACAGTGTTAATGTCTAACTTCAATCAATCTATAATAAGATCGAGATTTCAACTGTGATAATACTACATTCTCCAAAACTGACTCATACTAGAAAATAATTACTTTATTCACATTATAATCCATTACATGACGTTTTCTTTACATATACACATTGTTTCTTGATATTATTTACATTACATAATCTGATATTGTAATCTTACTATTATGTCATCATTCTTATTATTTCTTCATTCGATCTTACTTAAAAGTTTATATATAAATAAGCATAGATGTATGTCAGAAGGGGTTTTGTTGAGATTGTAGTAATTTCAATGGTTGGACGGCCGTTTCGTCCTATTGAGAGACTCCTCAGTAGTGCTCACTCACGATCCCGTCTTGTGAGATTCGAACCCAGGGCCTATCAGTCTCGTGCGCGAGAGCTTAAATTCTAAGCCACTGATGATTATACAGTTTAATGATAAACTCGTTGAAAATAGATCCTATCAGGGAACCTCATATTTATTAATGTGTGTTTTTAACGATAACGTCATTCACTGTATGATGTATACGTTTACCCACAAATCGATTCATATAGTCTCTTATCAAAATCAAACTATTTCTTTTCAAATTTCTACTGAACGTAAATCTATTTATAAATCCTGCTTTAACTCTTATAGGATTACTGACGATGTCAAACACAGGGTTAGACATAGGGTCAGCAATGAAATCCCACAAAAAACGCTAACCAGAATAAACAATTTAAACCATTTTAACTCTCTCCTAAGAGTTGAACGATGTTCATTCAGAAGAAGAATTATGACGTCTCATGGTGAAGGCCAATATTCCTCTGAAGTTACTAGACCGATGATACTTCTAACAACCATATCAACAATTATGATAGGTAAATAAAATGTCCGCACAGTGTGGAAGACTGGGAAGACCAGTTAAATAGCTATGGAAATGAGGAGATACAAATCGACAGTGCTCGGAATAAATGAAACTCATTAGACCCATACTGAACAGAAAACATTAGAATCGGGAGAGATGCTGTTATACTCTGGTCATGAAGAAGGAAATGCTCTACACATTCATACAGTTGCTCCGATACTGTCCAAAGAAGCACCAGAAACACTTATTGAATGAGAATCTCATGGATCCAGAATCATCGAAGCATCCTTCAGAACAAAGAAGAAGGAAATAACATTGAATGTTATAAAATGTGATGCGCCTACTAATGATAGGAATGAAGATACTGAAGATCAGTTCTACAAGAATCAGAAATCAATCAGAGTAAAGTGCCCAAGTAAGGACTGATGGAACATCCAAATTTCAAAGTCAGAATGGACAACATAGGATATGAAGACATCATAGGACAAAATGGACTTCACAGATGACCTAAGTTTTCTATCCTACACACACCAACTAATGAAAATGAAGACAGACAGTATAGCATCAGCCTCTAAAGCAGTAAACCTAAACATACACAAGGAAAAAAAAAACAAAATCCAGAAATGAAACACGGAGGACATCAATTCAATCACAATTGATGGGTAAGCTGTGAAATATGCATCATTGATGAATAAGAAAGATCTGACATATATGTACAGGAAAAAATTGGCAGATCAAAGAAAGCATTCATACAATTGAAGAATATATGCAACTCAAAACAACTGTCAACCAATATCAAAGTCAGAATCTGCAATACGAATGTTAAGACAGTTCTAGTGTATGGAGCTGAAACTGTCACAAATTATACAGTAATAGAGATGAACAGTAGTATATTCGAATAATCATACCATCTTTCTTCCTCTCATTTTCACTAAAATAAGTCACTTTTTTTTTAAACGGTTAATGAAAAACTGTTCACAATACAAGGTGCTCGAATGCTGTTCGAGCTGCATAATATTTTGAAGAGCAACTTTTTCATACTCTTCTTTCTTCCAAATGTAGGCAGCATTACCTTAAACGCTTGTTTTATGTTACCGCAGACTCACACAAACTTTAATTTGTTACTTCTTGTTTTAACCCTATTAACTTAGCCTATCTAAAATAAGATAACTTAAAAGAATATGTTCCTTAGTCAATATTTGTTTAGTATGTTGTCGCAATCATCGTCAATCACAACAGAATAACTTAAACACTTTGGGGTGAGACTATAATTTGTGGACGACTTTTGAACGACACTGCTTACTAAGACTAACTGAGGGCTATAAAACAGTTTGAAGAATACGGAATAAGATTTACAATTGATAATATTGAGACGGCTTCTGAGAACTATGACAGAGCCTTCAGAGGCCCTAACTGAGCTGAAGAGTTCCATTCAATCAGAATGTAATGGAGCTTTCTAGAATATCAACCTGGCATGCCGCTTATGGGTTAAGAATTAGATTTATAGTTTTCATCATGAAATGACATCAACTAGAATGCCAAAATTCTATTTAGTCAAATGGTTGAATGAATTTCGCGCCAAGACTTTTTGTCTTAAATCTGATTGGTTTATTCATAAATCATTATCTCATCGCATTTAGATAATTCCATATTGGATTGAAAAGAGTTATTAGCCTTTTTATCAAACTATGTTTATATAAAATAAATAGGGCAATTCATTGTTTAACTTAAATTCTTATACATAAACATTCATGTATTTATCAGTGTTCTATCATAAAACAAACAGAACTTGATAATATAAGATAAATGAAAAGCAGAATGTTAATGTGAACAACAGTTTTATGCTAATATTTACATAAATGTCATCAAACTACAATTGATAAAACACTATGAACATGTAGAGAACTTGATCTAAAAACTGTTCACAATTGAATATATCTCTTTTACCAAATGATGATGTGAGTTAGTAACTCACTGATGAAGACGATGATGGATTTGTCGCTCGATTTCGTGGATTAGTTGAAGCTAGACATTATTACCGTTGGATGTCACCAGGCTCAGTGGTCTAGTGGTTAAGCGCTAGGTCCTGTGTTCGATCATGGATGCGCACTAGTGAGGAGTCCAACATTAGGACGAAACGGCCGTCTATTACGGCCGTCCATGATGGTCTAGCTCTAATTGACTCATGATCTCAACCACTGAAATTACTATAATATCCACAAAAAATCCTTCTGTGATGAAAAACTATCTATGAAATTGTGGTATGTGCTACTTATATCGATATAAGTAGTGTACAACACTAGTCAATAATAGAATGTCTGGCAGCAGGAAATTGAGAAGATCAAGAAGAGAAGAATGGGAACAGAAAGAAGTTGATATGGAAATGTAGGAACAATGAAGTCTGAGACAATTGAGTGACATTTGCAAAAGGAACAGTCAAGTTTGAGACAACTGATTGACATTTTGCAAATGATATATTTACTGTATGGTTCTCAGATTTTACTGAGAGACTGTGTAATTTCTTGCTGAAATACATTCGACTGTCCCCACTTGTATTCTAGTTCACTACAGAATCGGTTAGTCGATTATGGGTCATCATTATCGTTAGTCCATAGTGAATCTTTCATTCAAACTACGTCAAAATGTTAGAAATCATCAGTACTTAATGATGATAAAATCAGTTAGAAATTGCAATCATTTCAAGAAATCATTATATCATTCCTAAATAATTGAAGTATAGTATAAGAGAAGAGTGAACAACAATTGGATAGAACTTGAAAGGAAGATCTAGGACAGAGTGGGTTGGAGAATGCTTGCCGTTGGTCTATATTCCACTAGGAATAACAAGCGAAAGTAAGTAAATAAGTATCGTATAAAGCAGTTG